CGAAATATCGGTATTCGGCCCATCGATGTAACTCCCACGATTGACGACAAACCCTTAAACACGGTGTATAATAGCATAAAGACCATCGCACCTGCGTGATTCAAGTGGATGACGCGATATATGTGAGCAAATTCAAGACGATCTTTGAGAAAGGTTACACACCAAATTGGACCACAGAGATGTTTAGAATCGTCAAAGTACAGAAAAATAATCCCGTGACGTATCTTCTGGAAGATTACCGCTGAAAACCTATCGTTGGAGGATTTTATGAGTATGAGTTGCATCGCGTCGCTAATCCCGACGTATATCTAGTTGAAAAAATGTTGCATAAAAAAGGGGATGAGGTTTACGTGAAACGGTTGGGATTTGATAATTGTCACAATTCTTGGATACACAAGGACATTGTGTTGTAAAAAAAATTAATTTATTACAATTTTATTAAAAATTGTGCAATTTTTTTTTACTTACTAAATTATAAACATATTAAATATATACATATTATACATATAAAAACATACTATATACGCAAACATATTTAAACATATTATACAGATATACAAATGAGTTTTTATTAAAAATCATATAAACATACATAACGGGATTCTTTTATTTTTACAATAATATTTTACAATAATATTTAATAATGTCCTCATGGCAGCGTATGAATAGTATCTGGTACAATGTAACGTTTATCGTCGTACGGACTTAAAGCGATTTTCTTTTCAGATACTGTATACATGTCATGCAATTTAGATTTTATAAATACATGACTGCCTGCGCGTCATTTCGATTTCATTATTTAGACATTGCGTGTAATCGTCAAACGTTATGGATTTTGCTACAACGTTGCTCTTGACGCCTTTTGCCTCCTTTGTATCCTTCTTCCCATTGACGCGCAAGGCGTATATTTTTGCTCTCAGTCCGACGAATTCGGTCATGATCGCGCCGTTATTTTCATCCTTTATCAAGCCCGGAACTTTTTTATTTGCGAGCGGAATACCATACGCATTATCGGCGTAATCGCTCATGTCGTATCTATTTATATCACGTTTCATAATATCGTAGACGTTGTCGCACTCGATGTAATAAATAAGACTATCCGTATCAGTGTTTATACATATGTTATATAATTCTGCATTTATCATGATGCAACGGTGCCATGTTCTCGTGGTGAAATTCGTACAAACATGTTGTAGATATGTCCAGGATACATATACCCACGTATATCGGTTTGTCGAACTTCACCTCGAGCTTACGCATTTCCATCGCGACCACGTTCTCGAAAAAAAAAAAAAACGCTTCTACTGTGGAAGTTTGGTTTCGTGATCATTGCCTCTGCACCATATCTTTCGCCCCAACGCATCACGAGTCGCACGTCGACGTGGTTACGCACATTTTCCATGATTTTGACGAAATCTACGTTATTTATAAGTTTGTATAAATTATATACTGTACTAAATTTTTCTCGAACTCGTTTTTTGCCAAAGTTCTAAATTTTGTGTTGAGTTCCATATAATCACGAAGACATGGAGGATTGTGTGAATTGCAGTATACAATTTATCTTACAAGGGAACACAACGAGTGGTCCCCCTTCGATTTAAATTAGCTTTTAGTATGTTGTTCTATAGACAAAAATAAAAGACACGTATTTTTTTATATGTACGGAGTCGCACGTTAAGGGGGTGAAATCCTCCCTTGAAAAAAATCGGGTTTTTTTCTTTCGAAGCGAATATCTTCGAAACTATAAGAGGTAGAAAAAAATTTCTAGAATAAAAATTGAATGATTGCAAGATTACTTTATAACTATAATGACAAATTTTTTTTAACTATTCATTTATTGTACATCCCCACCCTCCACTCTTATTTTCAAAAATTTTTTAATATTCTATATAACCAAAATTAAAGAGCATTTTACGCTGAAAACAACGGTGTGTATTAAAATTACGTTCCGCAAAACCGTTTTTGAGATATGAACGAAAACGTCTCTGTATACGCGCTCCGTACCTAAGTATTCGTCTCATACCGCGTTGGTTACGCGAGATAGCGATAAAGGCAAATACAACACAGTTTACCACAGTGCAGTACCAATACAGTAGCGACTATTGAAATAAGTTTTGTAAATAATAATAATAATAATAATAATAATAATAATAATACCAACAGCAACAGTGATTTTGTCAAACTGCTAAAATCAATCAAATACTTTTGAAGATACGTATACATATATAAAAGAATATACAAAATATTTTGGACAATTAAAAACAAAGCATTAATAAAGAAATTAATAAAATTTTATTCATTTCATTTTCATCGTAGAGTAGCTAATTCCAATATTTAATGTTGACATTAAGTATGTATTGATAAGGCGATGTAGAAAATATATAGATTTGCTGACGCAGACAAAAATAATAATTTTTGTCTGCGTATGCTATTGATACATAAGTATATACTTTATCAGGGCGAGGTCACTGATACTGATATGTTTGCGTTTTATTAATGCGATGTTATGCAGAAAATGGATTTGCTCCTGTGCAATAAGTCAGTAGCATATGCAGCATTGATTGTGTATAGTGAGTTGATATTGTCAATTGATTTTTTAATGGAAATAACGTGCGAGTGCAATGCTTCATATAAATTTAAAATAAATATAACAATGAAGAAGCTTATGAATATAAATTTGAAGTAACCTGTAAATGCGGCATTTCTTATGAATTTTTAACAAAAAAGGTACTTATTTCATTATTAATAATTCGTATTGCATATATCAATAATATATGTTTTTCATACACTTTCCTTTCTATTTATTAATTTATAAAAGCTAATTAATGAGAATTATATAAAAGTTAATTATGAGATTGTGCCTCTTGCGTTAAGTGTAACGCGCCTTTTCTCATTTTCAATGCCTTGTGGCTGTACTGCGTGGTGCACTATAGTAATCGATGTGAATGCCGCTTGAGAGCTAAATATCTTTATTTGCTGTACCAGAAAAGAGCTTAGTATGCTCGTATGGATGAGAAGATACAACTGAACAGAAAACTTTTTAACAAAACATGTCGGCGTTCTCCTTTTACAACGACGGAACTAAACTTATACTGTGCGCAGGATTCTACGCAGCTAATACGAAAACGCACGAGAGGTGACGAAGGCGCTTGAGCCAATTAGGCGATGATCTAGTAATCGCGCGACGCGTTCCGGTGACTAGGGAAGCGAGGTAGCTTACAACGCGACTAGGGAATTTGCGAAGAGGCGGAATATTATATGGCGCGAATAAAATAAATTTAACTTATTGACACAGCGTGTACATGCCGCCGTCCTTGAAAGGATCATCTTTCAACGAGAAGAAAAGAAAACAAAGAATGTATGGACATACGCTAATAAAACTTAGACTTAAGAAAATAATATGACTACAAGCGAAGTTAAAGTTAATCGCAAATGTCACAGCTATACCTTTTCCTCAATAGGAAGCAAACACAGACAAGTGATTGGGCGTTTGTAACTTCCATTAGCTGTACGCACAGTGGCCACGCGAGCCACACCGTCATTACCAGGGTGGATTTCTTGAATTCTTCCCAAAGGCCAGGATAGCGGTGGAGAATTGTCGTCCTTTATGATGACCATTTGTCCCAGATGTATGGATGCTTCATTAACTTGCCATTTGTTTCGTTGTTTGCATTGTTGCAAATACTCACGCGACCAGCGTCGCCAAAACTGTTGCTGTAATAATTGTACGTACTGCCAACGGGACAACCGATTGGTAGGTACTTCTTCTAAAGATGGCGTTGGATAAGATGTAAGTAGAATACCTATTAGAAAGTGCACGGAAAAAAAAGTTTTCAGCGCTACAGCTAATCATGGTTTGCTGAAACTGTATTTGCTGCTGTAGCAAAAGAATTTGTCACTGTTACTATTATATTTGTGTCTTAGCAAAATGTACTTATCTGCTGTTACCATATCGATCAGGAACTGAAGATTTGCTATCACAGCTAACAATCGTAACTAACGCAACCAAAGTATATATACTATATATAGTATATATAGATTGTTAGCTGTGATAGCAAATCTTCAGTATATATACTTTGGTTGCGTTAGTTACGATTGTTAGCTGTGATAGCAAATCTTCAGTTCCTAATCGATATGGTAACAGCAGATAAGTACATTTTGCTAAGACACATATATAATAGTAACAGTGACAAATTCTTTTGCTACAGCAGCAAATACATTTGGGGGAACGCGCAGATAGGTAGTCGCGCAACACGCAACAGTTGAATGCCGTATAGACGCTGGCGCTGTTTTGTTTCACGATTGTTTTTGCCTCTCGCAGTCGAAACGGTCAAAACGGTCCGCGAAACTGCTCGAAGCGTGTGCAAACGCGTCATGTGTAACCTCAAATCAAGAAGTTATTTAAAAAGTAAAGTGAGATCTCTGCTCCCCGAGGAGACTATTCACTGGAGCAGTAGATCCATTATTTCTGCATGGCACTGTGACTTAAGCTGGGGCCGAAAACCAATAAAGGGGAAGCCAGTAGAAGAAGAACGCGTCGTGTCAGTAGGGCTACTGTGATGGAAATAAATCAATCCTTGAAATTTAATAATTGACTCACTTTCAGTATAATTATACTGAAAATGGATCAATTGATAAACACTTTAGCGATTTTAGCGATTTATTTCCACCAGGAAATCCCTAACCTAATAAATCATGGTGCAAATTAAAGTAGCTGTCATGTAAACAGTATTAGCTTTGGATCAGAACTCAAATTTGCAATGGCACTTAAAATATTATCAATAGTACCAAAACTTATGTCTCCCACATACAATTATGTGCTAACCATTACAGCGCGTTGTACTATAGCCATTTCATGCAGTGTCTACGGTAGCTAAATTTTTGTCACTCTTACCTACAACGTTTACAGCTAAATAAAATGGATCACACTGCTAAAGTTTTAGGTATCCATATGTTACGACTGAAATTTAGCTACCACATGCAAATTCTTGCTGCTGCAACTAATCTTTTTTTTTCGTGTGCCCTGGCGTTAATGAACTTAGGTCGTTAGAGTCTGATGAAAGTGGAGTAATTGGACGAGAGTTCAATATTGCTTCGATTTGAATGAGAAATGTTTCTAGTTCTTCATATTTTAAAGTAGAGTTTTTCGTCATTCGAACTAAATGGCGTTTGGCTGCCTTTACCGCAGCTTCCCATATACCACCGTGGTGAGGTGCTCTGAGCGGAATAAAGTGCCAATGAATTCCTTTATCTGCCAATTGATCGCTAACTTGCTGTTGAGTTGTTTGGTTCTTGAGTAGGTCGGATAATTCGCTCAATTCGCGGTCAGCGCCTACAAAATTTAAGCCGTTGTCCGAATAAATATCAGACGGACAACCTCTTCTGGCTATAAAACGCTTGAAGACGTTTAAAAATGCTTCGGAAGACCAGCCGGTAGTCAACTCCAAGTGGATTGCCTTTGTGGCTAAGCAGATGAAAACGGCGATGTAGCATTTTATTTGCTTGGCATTTCTTTTAGTGCCCTCCTTGTAATAGCAGGGACCTGCGTAGTCTACGCCACACTGGTCAAATGCCCTCTTAGGAATGTTGACTCGTGCCCTTGGAAGATTTCCCATAATCGTTGAAGCAGCCTTAGGTTGACTTCTAAAGCAAGTGACACATTTTTGAACAGTTTGTCGAACGAGATTGCGTCCTGATATGATCCAAAACCTTTCACGTATTGCTGCTAACGTGGCCTGTGGACCAGCGTGAAAGTGTTTTTTTATGTTCGTGTCTCACAAGCCTAGAGAATGGATGGTTTCTAGGCAGTAATATCGGGTATTTTGACGAGTATGGAAGTGTTGCTTCTTTTAATCGACCTCCCACTCTCAAGACTCCAGAACCGTCAATGAAAGGATTCAGTTTTAGGAGGGGACTGTTTTTATTTATGGCTTCCCCTTTATCAAGTGATCTTATTTCTGCGGTGAAGTAAATTGTCTGAATTATCCTTAATAAATGAATGATGACTTGATTCTGTTCTTCTGGTGTGATTGGTGAAATAATATGTTTCTTCGTTGTCGAAGGTGCGTGCATATCCTGGGTCTTGGTTTTTGCCTTCCTTGAATTTCTTGCAAACCGATAAATGTAAGCGACCACTCGAATGAGCCTTGTGAACATCGAGTAGCGATTGAAGATGTCAAACTCTTGAGACGTAGCAGTAACTGCGGCGATGGTCTTCGATCTTCTTTCAGGAAGGTCCTTTACTTG